CCCTCGCACAAACGAGTCTTCTGTCCAGGCGTGTGGGGAACGCCTCTTGGTGAAATAGCAAAAGCCAGAAGCCTGGACAATAGCCCATTTTCTGACACCCACAAGTTCCTCAGACTGTGTGCACAAGAATGTACAGAATGGGAAGGAATACAGAAAAAAGGATTATTGCCATTGGGGGAGGTGGAGGTGTTCCGTAATGGATTCCAACTCACAGTGACCTGATGGGATGGAATTGTACCACAGGGCTTACGAGGCTGTAAATTTTAATGGATACGGACTGCCACGCTATTCTCCTGTGGAACAATCACCCAAAACATCAACCATTGCACCACCAAGGTTCCTTGACTGCTATGACTCACAGTGACCCTAAGAACAGCAGGTGGGCATCACGCCCTACACTGCGCTGTCCTTAGAACCTCTGCCATGTTCAATCACATTGTTATCGTCACTGTGTCAGTCCTTCTCAGTAAGGCTCTTTCTCTGAGAAAGGGTTCCTTGACTGGGGGACTCTGCCTTTGCTTGGCTGGGTGTGCACGGATGACAGGCTGGATTACTGCTCAATTCTTCACGCTCTCTCTTCGCCTGCAGCTTCTCCTGTGTGTAGAGTATACTTTTCCATCTCATTGACATTGAGCTTGGCCATGTGATTAGCTTTGGCCAATGGTGCACTGGTGGACAGATACCAAGCAGAGGCCAATACAGAGCCACGGAGAGCCGCCCTGAGCCCAGCTGACCTGCAGGGCCTTGAGTGAGGCGAAGGAATTTTTGAATGCTTGCTGTTTAGGCCTTTGAGTTTGCGGTGGTTTGTTGAGCAGTACCTGTTAAAGCAGCCTGTGTTTGTGTATCTTATAGTGGGAGTGCAGCCAGGGTGCAGCCTGGCCTTAAAGGCCAGGATGGTGAAACTGCCGCTCACTACTTAGGGCACGCTGGCGGGAGAGGCTAGTCCTTGGAAAAGGCCTTCATGCTGAGAAAGGTAGGGTCAACGAAAGGTAAACTCTGACCAACACAGTGACTGGGCTACGGGCTTGAGCATGGTGGACAGCATCTTATCAACACGGCAAGATTGTGATCTGTTATTCATAGCGTTGCAATGAATTGTTGTCAGCTGTTGCCATCTAACAACAATAACATGTTAGATGCAAAAGCAGAAGTTATTGGGTTTTCCTGGTCAGGCCCCTCTCCACCACAGCCCTCCCGGGAAGCACCAGGATGGCTCTGGGCACTGCTGGTCCTTGCGTCTCACCTTATCCTTGGTGATTCACCAGATGCAAGTCCTGGCATTCTTGTTGATTGTCTTCATTGGGCTCCCTTCTCTGGAACCCCCACTCCCATTGGTCCAGGCCTAAGCCCCTGCATCTGTGTCCCAGGAGGTCTGCCTGTCTGTGTAGTGTCCAGCGAGAGGGACAACTGACACAGTGACCAGAAACTGGCTCAAACACAGCACTGATTGTGAGGCTGGTGCAGAACCAGGCAGTGTTTCATTGTTCCATTTTAACCGACTCAAGAACACCTAACAATACGTTGCCATTGTTACCCTGATCAACAAGTCCTGAGCACACAACTGCTTCTACTACCCGGTAGGTTCTTGGAACCTCAACAAGCAACACATGGAATTGCATTGTAGTCTACAGCAAGGTCTGTAAACTGGGGTACATGGACCCCTAAAGGGTGTGAAGATGTGCCAGGGAGGAAGCAAAACCAAACCCACTGACCTCAAGTCTGTTCCAGTTGATTGTGATCGTCAGTCAGGTGTCCTAGGCTGTAAACCTTCACGGGATGAGACTGACCCCCTTTCTCTCTGGTGACCCCGGTGTTTTCAAACCTCTGGCCTGTTAGCAGCACAGCACCAGACACTAAGCCACCAGAGCTGTGCTGGGCGGAATTCCTCAAATCAATCAGCTGAAGGGAGTCGGCAGCTTCCAGCCCTCCAACCTTGGACAATGCCCTTAGGAAAGGCGCTGGCACCTCCCATCTGGGGCTTCACCAGGAAGAAACTCTCAGCCCCTCAAATAATAAACAAACAAACAATTAACAATACCACCACCACCACCACCAATCCATCCTGCCTCCACGAATGTCAGAGCAGAATTGGGCTTCATAAGGTTCTCAAAGGCTCATGTTTCACAAATAGACCACCCAACCTTTCTCCTGAGGAAGCTGCGGGTGGATTCCAACTTAGGGACTTGAACCTGCCCAGAGTCTGCAAGACCAAGGTCTTCCCTCAAAATAGAAAAGAAACACACGCAGGCTTCATTGCGCTGAACTGCTCAGAAAGCTGTCCGGAAATTGGTGGCACAGATATTTTTTCAATGAGTCATTTGCACCCCTCTCCTGCCCCCCATGCTCTGCCCACTTGCATAAGCCGGGTTGGGTGAGGGATGTCCCACTTGGGCCTGGGCCCAGCCTGATGCCCAGCATATGGCCATGGGGCAGCCGGCGCCCTAAATCTGACCGGAGGATGCACTCCCTGCCCCATCCACCCTCACCAGCACACAGCCACCCTTGCCCCAGGGCTTCAGCTTGGAAACACCGAATCAGATGCATGCATCACCTGGTGCTTCAACAAACCACATCAGGTGGGGAAGGGAGGACTCAGGGCTCATTTAGGAACCTTACACTGGGTCTGCAAAGAGCTCCCTTTGCGTAGCTCTTCGGGGCTGGAAGCAAGGAGGTGGAGGGGACCCCAGCTGTGCCTACTCCAGGGCCTGCTCCCCTTTCTTTCCCTTCTCCTCCACCTTTCCAAATAGGAAGTTCTGCAAGGATTGGACCCTTCTTACAACATTCCCAAAGTAGGTGAGAATTACACACGGCCTTGGAAATGCAGAGGGTCACTGTGAATCAGACTCTCCTTGATAGGGTCCAAAAACTCTGCTTGCAAGTAAATTCTCCATTGGGTTTCTCACGTAGTAAACTTAAGTACAAGGAGACTACCCCCGGCTAGCTGATGAATTCAACCCACAGGAGACATGTGCAAGATGCCACTAGAAGGCTCCTTCTCCAACAGTATTGGACACTCTTCTGTTGAGACCCATTGGGTTTTCACGGGTCAGCTTTTAAAGTGGATTGCCAGGCCTTTCCCCCTAGTCTTAGCCTAGATGCTCTGCTAAAATCTACCCACCACACATGATCCTGCTGGTATCTGAAATACCAGTGACATAACATCTAACATACAGCAACAGCCAAGCCACCACAGAAGGACAAACTGACAGATATTTGGTGCAACACGTCAATACTGGTTCATTAATTGTAATAAATTTAACAAATGATTGCTTTTGAGTGGAGCATGACTCATAGTGACCCTATGAACAAAAGGCATGAAACCTTTCTATAACTATCGTCATTTCTCAAAGTTCATAGAGTTTCTGGAGGCATGTTATTTAGGGAGTGGATGCCACGCTACTACAAATTGTTAATAATATGGGAACTTTCTATTATCATCTCATCTTTTCTGTGAATCTAAAACTTTTAAAAAAGTTATATTATTAAAATCCTTTATCTCACTCCTGCCTACAATCACCCAGTTTCCAGCTGATCCTTCATCGGTTTTAGGGAAGCTTTGAATTGCCCAGGATGAGCCGCAGGTGGATTCAAACTTTCAGAAAGAAGCTGCCTTCAGGTTACGAGCGCACCTCTCTGTGGATTACGCCACCAGAGCTCCTTAAATAAAATATGAAAAAAGATCTTTTCTAGGGGATAAACAATGTATATAGCATTGAAACAGAGGAGGGAAATTTTTTTGAAAGGAATATATGTTTTGTTTTGTTTTTTAATTTCTTTATTTTTCATTTCAGTGAACATCTACAGAGATTTTGGAATTCCATTCATTCATTGTTGC